AAAAAAAAAAAAAAAAAAAAACAAGGATAAGAACAAGTCCAAAACAATAAATAAAATTAAAATAAAATAAGTAAAGGGATTTGGACAAAAACAAATCCCAATGTCTTTAGAACAATTCCAATTTTGCCGGCAGCGTGTGGCGCGATTTCTTCGCTGGGTGAGGGCTCTCGACCTCGTCCTCGACCCCGCCGGAGCCGAACCCCGCCCAGGACTCCGGCAGCGCCGGCAGGTTCAGGTCGAAACCCCGGTGGCTGACGGTGGACGACCCCGCGCCATCCGACGACGCGGCGCTCCCCGCCTTGCCACCCTCGTAGTGGCGGCGCTTGTGTCCCCCGAGGGCCTGCCCCGTCGGGAAGCTCCTGTGGCAGATCGAACACTCGTGCGCCCTTCCGTTAACCGACGAGGTCGCCGCGAATTCGGAAGCGGCGGATGGCTCGTCCCCGGCGGCGACCTTCCGGTGGCTGGCCTTGTGTCCGCCCAGAGCCTGGTAGGACGCGAAGGCCTTGTCACAGACGGAGCACTTGTACACCAGATTCGGAGGCTCGGCCGCCGGAGGCGTGGTCGCGGCAGAGGCGGCGCCGGCGCCGCCACGGGCAAGCATGACGAGGCAGAGGGCGAGGTACTCCTCCTCGGAGGGCTCGTGGCGGCGGCCGTCGGGGCTGCGGGGGCGCTTGGTCCTCTTTCCTTTGGTCCAGGGCTCGAGGTAGCGGAGGGCGGCGTTGTCGAAGTCGAACGACGTCGTTGGGGCGGCTGGCTTGTTGAGAGCTTCTAGGGCCATGTCGATTTTGTAATCAATTGAAGTGAAATTGAGGCTTAGAGAGAGAGAGAGGAGAGAATGTTTGAGAGTTTGGAGAGTAGCTAAAAGAGAGAGAGAGAGATTATCAATTAGGGATGTGAATGAGAAGAGTGAGATTTACAGTGATATTTATAGTCTGAATATAAAGTGGAGGAGAAGTTGCGTGACAAGTGTTGAGGAAAGTGAGACGGTTACTCAACTTTCTGACGAGTAAAATAGGCCAAAATGATGAATAAAATAATAGTAATTCATTAAGTTTAAATGCGAAAAGGAAGAAAAAAAAAAGGGATGGATGGGAATAACACGTTTTTTGGTTATTAGATTAGTTAGGGGCCAAGTGGAATCTTGGAGTCGGTTAGATAGTGATGCTACTAACATTATCGCCAAACTTCTCCTTCTTCCCTTTTTTTTTTGTTTTTTTTGTTTTTCTTTTTGTAAATCAAATATCGAGATTTATTCGGTCAAAGTCATGAACTCGATGCACAACGAAAGAATGAAGAGAAAAAAGACGGAATAGAAATCTTCCACAAAAAAGAATCCATCGCCTCTAAAGTCCACTTAGTTATATTATGAGCAACCACATTATTTGTTCAATCAACGTGACTACATACACCATAATTCAAAGAAAAACAAAAGCTCGATAATATGCTAAAAAACATGCTGCAACGGGTTATTTGGGAGTTGGTCAGAAATACTGCATATAACTGAAAGAGCATCAGTCTTGGCAGCTTGGATAGTGAAGCCCGAGTCCAGGGTAAAACGAAGTTCGAAATGTAGGGCCAAAGCTTCAGCAGCTGTGGGGGAAAAGGATCAAGATTGTTGTGATGAAAAAGCTGCCCAACACACTCCCTCTGAGTCGCTAAGCTACCCTCCTAAACCAATCGGTGAATTGCGTAAATCAGATCACAAAACAAGGTAAGCCCATTTTGACAGTTACCTGGTCCAAGCCAAAGGATCGGTCCCGGGTTCAGTGGTCGTGTAATTGGAGCAGCGCCTAAGTTCACATGACTCAACTCATGTAGCCACCCCCGTCCAGTTGCCCAAACCTGTTCCACACTCTTGCCTGCCAAACCGTGTCTTATTCGATTTCTCTCTTGCCAAATAAGCCATAAAAGAATCGAAAATATCGAGAACTCATCTCCCCGAGTTCCATCAATAATATTGGTAAAGATCGAGATAAAGCTCATGCCACGTAGACCCGCTATTGTGTCCCAACAGCCAGTAATTTTCCACAGAGTTTTAACCCGAATACAATCAAAGAAAACACGGGACATTCGATTTCAAGCCTCCGCATATGTGGCATTTCACTTCCACATTTATGTGGTGTCGAGCTAAATTTTCAAATGAGGGAAAAGCCAAATTACTCAGTTTCCACAGAAAATTTTTCACTTTTGGATAAAGATTTAGTTTCCACAGAGCTTTCCACCACCTCATATGAATATTCAAACAAGATGTGTGAGATTCAACAAGAAGGGATTTAAGTAAGTGATAGCAACTTTTCACCGTACATGAACCATGTTTTGAGTGGTGCCAAATAATGCGATTGCAGAGCGACAAAGACGTAAAAGAATAGGATCTTCTGGGCATCAATCGATTAAAAGATGTTATTAATCAAGTTCTCGTTCCAAGTTCTGCTTACCCCAATAAGACCCTTAACTCGATCAATACCAACCACTAGTCTGGAGAAAGGTTTAAAATAACGAAAGTGAGGTATCCAGCGGTCAGAGTAAACTTTGATTTGCGACCCGTCCCCCACTCTCCATCTCAAACCTGTTTGAATTACTTCTCGGCCCCACAAGATACTTTTCTAGATGAATTAGGAGTCCGCAGGTGCCCGAGCCTCAAGGAAGTGGTCAGAAGGGAAATACTTAGCCTTAAGCACCCGAGATACCAACGAGTTAGGGAACATAATTATCCACCACGCTTGTTTCCCCAGCATTGCTTTGTTAAACAAGTGAAAGTCCCTGAACCCCAGCCCCCCTTCTTGTTTTGACTTTGTTAATTTGCTCTATTTAACCCAAGACATTTTTCGTCCGCCGAGCTGAGAACCCCACCAAAATTGAGCAACAATTTGTTGTATTTGATTACAAAGGGTATTAAGGAATCGAAAGAGGCTCATAAAGTAGACATAAATCGATTGTACAACTGCTTTAATAAGAGTTTCACGTCCAGCTGAGGAAAAGAGATTGCGGTTGCAGCTTTGGAGTTGAATCCAAATCTTTTCGCGGATAGAGGCAAAGGCACGAGCTTTATCCCGACCAATCATAGACGGAAACCCAAGATATGTTCCGTGTGATATATGCGATTGAATACCCAAGAGTGACCAGATTACCTGTCGAATATCCTGGGAAATGTTGGGGGAGAAAAAAAAGTGCAATTTTATCCAAGTTGACTTTTTGGCCCGACGCTAGCTCATAATGATGAAGAATGTTGACAATGAATGAAGTCACAGTAGGATTGGCCTTTGAGAAAATAATAGAGTCGTCCGCAAAAAGAAGGTGTGAGATTGAAGGTCCATTCATGCTACGTTTCAAGCCCTCCATTGCGCCTTCCAGTTCAGTTTTTT